TTTGCCAACTTTGACTCCCATTTTAGGCCAATTACATTATTTCAGTGACCAAATTCTTAGATATTTCACTAGTATTACTTCTGTCCTATAGACTGAGCACAAGAAATTGCCAACTCAACTGTTTCAACTACAAAATAAAGTGATCGGAAATTGGTAATTTGGCCAATTTAGTGCAAAGCGCAAAATAGTCCAATTTCAAAATAGGGTCCAAAATAAACAATGCAGGCATTCCTGGCACTAAACTAACATCTCCTCTGTTCATTAGTCACATTTTCAGGCTTTACAAATTAATTTTTATTCAAACCAAAAAATAGAAGATTTACTGGCATGTAATACTGTAATAATTGTATAAATCATATCGGCACATTTGTGAACATATATTAGACCCACCAGCTGGCGTGTATTAGATGTGTGAGGTCATTTGTTAACTCTTGAACATCGGTAAAAATTTAACATTTCTGTTACTTTGAGTTCAGTTTCAAGCCATTTTCAGTGCTGAAACCAATCAAAATCATCTCTGTTTCTGTAATATATCTTCCATTCTATCAAATGAGACCAAAAAATTGCAAATGCAACTATAAAAAAAACATACAAAAAACACTGCAAAGTCGCTATTTTAATCAAAAATTACGGTCTCAGTTTTTTTTTTCTCTCATGCACTGTGTGCTGCAGGATTTGTTTTATGTGGTGCACACATACCACATAGATGTCTTCTCTCATATCTAGACCTAAATTTACCACTCACAGCTTATCAGAGTGAGCTGAGCTCATGGCGTAGATCTACAGTTTGGACCCTCAACGTAAAGCTGTAGATCTACGGCACGGACCCTGAAAGGGTCAAGTTTATTTGGGAATTTATCGTGTGTTTCTTGAAATTTGTACTCTGTAGAGAAGACATCGTTCTGTAATTGTTTACCCAGTAGTTAATGGGTTCAGGAAATTCATAATTAGGTTTTGTCCCTTTAATGAATTTAAGGACAAGAGCTGTAACTCTTAAAAGTTTACCCAAAGATGAGTATTTAGATCCATCAGTGACTATTTCTGGTGTGTCTGCTGTATTTAACCCTTTGACTGTTTCCGACGTGTAAATACGTCTTAAGAGCCAGTGTTTCTGACGTATTTATATGCACAAATTCTAGCGGCTTCAAATCAAGCGCCAAAGGCCTGGTAGGCCTACACAAGAGACAATGGGTCTCAGTGGTCGGTGTGCACCCTGTGAAAAAAATCTGGGACCCAGCGGTGCATTGTGGGAATGCCATGTTGTTAGTCCATTTTCACCATGCCTCTCGGTAAGATGTTCCTCACTCCTCGGCGGATTGGAGGTCTTTTGTTCCCAAGTGATAGCTCTAACAGCGATGAAAATGTCAGTGACAGTGAATTCCAGGGTTTTGAAGATAGTGTTACCGGAAAAAGTGCCCAGGATAACGTAATTAGTGATGAAAACCCAGATGACCCACAACCTTCCACCTCTGGTGCTGTGCCGGCTTGTTCACGTTCGCCTGTACCAGGACGAAAGAGGAAACTATTTGGTCGTGTACAACACCCAGATGATAGCAGTGATAGTGATAGTGATAGTGATTTCAAGGTCATTGAAAGCAGTTCTAGTGACAGTGAGGGTGAATATTCCCCAGTGAAGCGGCCGTATGTACGACGTAGCATGCAGTCTGGTAGTGTTTCATATGTTGTTCCAAGGTTAAGGAGAAACTCTGGGAGCACATCCCGTGGCCCTACACCACGACCTGATAGTGAAGATGACGATATTGTAACGATGGGTATGAATGGTGACAGTGAGGGAGGAGGCAGTGGTGGTGATAGTGAGGGTGGCACGGCCCATGTGGCACCATCAGCGGGCCATGCTACTACCCACCCTGCTGACGCAGCACAACAACCAGCCTCACAATACCCCACACTCCCACAACCTGCACAACCACAACCACGGTACAATATCCAGACCCCACCAGCAGACCGCATCTGGGATTGGCAGGACGGTGACGAGTTTGTTCCCAGTCCCCATGACTTTGATGAAACACAGTGGAATAAAGCCATCTTGTCCACTTGGGAACAATGCCAGTGAACTGGACTGCTTTGAGTTATTCTTCGATGAACCCCTGATGGACATCATTGTCAGGGAAACAGACACATACTGTGATTACACCATGGCAAATACAATTCTCTCACCAAAATCACGGCTACACAAGTGGAAGGAGACAACTGTGGCAGAGATGTACCTGTTTTTTGCCACAATAATGCTTATGCCACATGTGTATAAGCACACTCACCACATACTGGGCAACAGAACGCCTGATTTCAACTCCAGGTTTTAGTGACATTATAGGTGTCAATCGTTTCCTGATACTGTTACGTATGTTACACTTTTCAGACAAAACCAGGCCTGACAGAAGCGACAGGTTATATAAGATCAGAAATGTGTTTATGTACCTGAAACAAAAGTGCTGCATGTATTTTTATCCCTTCAGGAAGCTTGTTATTGATGAGTCCTTGATTTTATTCAAAGGAAGACTCTCATTCAAGCAATATATACCAAGCAAGAGGAAATGCTTTGGTATAAAGCTATTTGTACTGTGTGATTGCAGAAGTGGTCTAGTTTTGGATATCATTGTGTACACTAGCAGTAATACTTTGAGAGATACCATGAAGTTATTGGGTATCTCTGGTGATGTGGTTCGAACAATGATGGAACCATATCTTGTTAAGGGGCATATGTTATTTACTGATAACTGGTACACAAGCCCCTTACTCAGTGATTTCTTGCGAGTGAACTTGACAGACGTGTGTGGCACAGTGCGTGGTAATCGTAAACATATGCCAAGGTTCAACGTTGGCACTCACAGAGGTGAGGTGCAAGCCTTTGCTACCAATGACATCATGGCATTTCGGTGGCATGACAAACGTGATGTCACATTGTTGACATCAGTTCACAGAAACGAAATGGTACCCAGTGGCAGGGACAACAGAGAGACCAATGAACCCATTCTAAAGCCTGCAGCTGTCATGGACTACAACCTCAATATGCGCTTAGTGGACAAATGTGACATGCAGATTGGGTTTGCAGACTGTGTACGCAAGAGTTATAAGTGGTATATAAAACTTTTTTTCCATCTTGTTGATATGTCTATGCTAAATGCTTATAACATATAGAAGTTGAAGACCAACAAAACACCAAAATAGGGTGAATTTTGCCTGTCAGTAATCAGACAGATAATTGCAAAGTACCAAGGAGCAACTCTTGCAATAGACCAGCGCCCACAGACGTCATCTCGTTTGAGGCCTGGTGATCACTACCCCATACAACTGCCTCCTACTACTGCCAAGAAAAATGCTCAGAAGAGGTGTTATGTATGTACACATACCACAAAATGCCCACAAACACGCAGAGACACTTGTTTTATGTGTGAGGAGTGTCAAGTGCCCCTCTGCATATACCCATGTTTCAAAGAGTTCCACAAGCTGCAGCAGTTCTAGGAACGTGTTTAGTGACTGTACATATGTATATATATTATGGAACAATAGTAATAAACATTGTTTTGTATTGTTTGTTTGTGTAAACAAAGTGTATACACAAACTAATAGTGATAAAGTTTGTTCTGTTATTGTGTTGTAAACAATGAGTGTATATTTGAACAATGCACCTTACATTGGTCTCACAGGCCACATAAGTTACCTGGAACAGAAAAATATTGAAAAATGCAAGAAACCTTTGAATTAGAGTAAATAAAAGAATACCGGGTGGGCGGCAGTCGCTGCTGTTGCCGTACGCACGTCACTTTCTGCAAACTTTGCGGCTCTATATCTCGGTAAGTACTGATGGCAAAAAAATTTTTTTAGGCTTAAAACACTACTAAAAATATTCCTAACATTTTCATAAGAAAAAATAATTTTTTTTTTTCGAATATTTGGCGACAATGACAGTTTCAGAGAGGGGCCTGAAACAGTCAAAGGGTTAAACAGATTATTTCTTCTGTGTTCAAGCAGACTGTTTCTTCTGGCATAATGTGAGCTTTTTGCTGAGGTCACTTATGTTCATTAGAGAGCCAGTTGGGTCCATGGAGCCATAATTTATTGTCCACAAATTTCTTGAGTAGGACACCATGTGACAACATGTCAGCTGGATTCTCTTGGGTAGAGACGTGGACAAAGAGATAATTTCTCTGCATCTCTCTTATGTCTGCTACTCTATTCTGTACATAGACCAACTTACTCTTGTTATTACGTAACCACTGGAGAACTGCTTCATTATCACTCCAGAACACATTTTTTTTTTCAGTAGTGAGATGATCAAGCACTTTGTTGAGATAGACAGCTAATTTTGTACCTACATAGAGTGCTGTCAGTTCTAATTATGATACTGTTTTGACCTTCAGGGGTGCTACCCTGGCTTTTGTAGGTGGGTGTGAGCTGGAGCTGTTGTGGTATGGGTGGGTGTGAGCTGGAGCTGTTGTGGTATAGGTGGGTGTGGGCTGGAGCTGGTGTGGGATGCGTGGGTGTGGGCTGCTGATGTGGAGTGGGTGGGTGTGAGCTGGAGCTGGTGTGGGATGGGTGTGAGCTGGTGTTGGATGGGTGGGTGTGAGCTGGTGTGGGATGGGTGTGAGCTGGTGTTGGATGGGTGGGTGTGAGCTGGTATGGGATGGGTGTGAGCTGGTGTGGTATGGGTGGGTGTGAGCTGGAGATAGTTTCCACTTCTTACAATGTTATATTGCTGTACATTACAATGTTATATTGTTGTACATTACAATGTTATATTGTTGTACATTACAATGTTATATTGTTGTACATTACAATGTTATATTGTTGTACATTATGTTATATTGTTTTACGTTATGTTATATTATTGTACGTTACAGTGTTATATTTTTTTACATTACAATGTTATATTGCTGTACGTTACAATGTTATAATGTTGTACATTACAATGTTATATTGCTGTACGTTACAATGTTGTATTTTTGTACATAACAATGTTATATTGCTGTACCTTACAGAGCCTGGATGCAGCAGACCAGCGCTCACTGGTGGCTGATGTCCGGCAGGCGGTCAAATTTGCTGCATCAGACTTAAAGGGGGACGACCTCATGCCTGGGTTCTGTCTTCCGAAAGGTAATGAAGGAATAGAGTAACAACACTAAAATTATCATTTACAGTTAATGTGGTACAAGTTAGATGTAATTCTTTCACATTATTTTCATTTTATACAATTAAGTACTATTGCAAAGTTATGATATACTCTGCATACTGCCCACTACTAAGCTTAATACAATAATAGTAATTTATAGTATATGCAGGGTCATCTTTCCTGTAAATGCATTTGAAAATGTTCATTCAAAATTAACCCGTAAACGGTCCAAACGTATATATACATTTTTCGACATTTGAAAGTATGTAAAAAAAAGTAGATCTTTTTTTTTTTACATTTCAAAACGTGTAAAAAGCTTAGGTGGGAGACGGCCGACTTGTTGAAAAAAAAAAAAAAAAAAAAAATTTGAAAATATGTAAACAAAAAATGTGGATCTACTTTTCGAGCACTAAGCATGTGAACATTGATCTGCTTGGACATTTTAAGGGTTAAAGAGCACATGCAAATGCCTTCAAAGTGCATGACATTATTTTCAATGTACAGTGGACCTTCGAATTTCATCATCTCTTTTCTGTGTGTATATTTTGTTAATATTTTTGGGTGTCTGGAATGGATTAATTGGATTTACATTATTTCTCATGGAAAATATTAATAAAAAATACATTTTGTTGAGAATAACTATAATTTTACATACAGAAAAGTGATGATGAAATTGTATTTATTAAAAATTGCACTATATAGAGGAGCTTTGTAAGAGGTGACTGTATTATAGTGAACAACACATAATGTGTACAGCAGCAGTTCACATTATAATGTGTTCACATTATAATGTTTATTACTTTGCACATTATAATGTTTCTTACTTTGCACATTATAATGTGTACAGCAGTACATATTATGTGTGCATCATTACATATAATGTGTACAGTAGTACAGGTTGGCCATCACTAATCCGGCAATCAGTTATCCGGGTCCATCAATAATCCGGCACTAATTTCAGCTAGCATAATTTTAAATTTCATCATTATACTGACTCAGAAATTGTGCAGATGGTTGTAAATCCACAGCAGCAAGCCAGTAGAGGAGAAAGCAGTGATGAAAATGAGGAAGATGTAGCAGTCTCTCTATTGATAGGTTAATTAAGTTTATTCTAACCTAACCACTCTGTAATCTGGCAAACTCACTAATCCGGCACACTACAGGTCCCAACGATGCTGGATTAGTGATGGTCAACCTGTACATATAATGTGTACAACAGTACAGTCTTATCTAAATTACAGCATTAATTTAGATAAAACATTTTAGGAAGGTCACTGACAAAAAGCTCAAGGAAGTGTAGCATATATACACTTGAGTTCCTCTGGGACTGTTACCAAGTCAGAGGTGAGTGTGACAAGACTCACATCACCAGGAGACATGTTGGGAAGAGGGAGTGGCAAGAAAGTTGTACTAGTTAGTAGCAGTAATTGAAGTTAAAGTAATAATAGAGATAAAATACATCTCCAGGTGCTTTCATTTGTTATTTGAGTTTTTAAAGCTTATTATATTGTCAGGGCAGTTAGAGAATTGGAGGTGTTGCATGATATGTTACATGATAGTACAAGTTGATCACTAATGTAGTATATGAACCATAGAATTGACGAGGGAAAAAGGTGAATGTAGAACTGACAAGGAGAAAAAGGTGAGCGTAGAACTGACGAGTGGAAAAAGGTGTGCGTAGAACTGATGAAGGGAAAAAGATGAGCGATTCACTGAGGCACTTGTTGAGACAATGAATGTTATCCATGGTAGCAAAGAGGGGAATGTATGAGTGTATAGTGGTGCCAGTGCCGTTATTTGGGTGTGAATCATGGGTGGTGAATGTTGCAACAAGGAGGAGGCTGGAGGCAGTGGAGATGATGTGTCTGAGGATAATGTGTAGTGTGAATATTATGCAGAGAATCTGTAGCTTGGAGATTAGGAAGTGCGGAGTTACTAAAAGTGTTATCCAGAGGGCTGAGAAGGGTTTGTTGAGTTGGTTCAGACATTTAGAATGGAATGAAATAGAATGACTTGGAGAACATATAAATCTGTTGTGGAAGGAAGGCAGGGTAGGGGTCATTCTAGGAAATGTTGGAGGGAGGGGGTAAAGGAGGTTTTGTGTGCAAGGGCCTGGACTTTCAGCAAGTGTGAGTGAGCATGTTAGATAGGAGTGAGTGAAGACAAGTGGTTTTTATGACTTGACATCTGTTGGAGTGTGAGCAAAGTAACATTTATGAAGGGATTCAGGGAAACCAAAGGGTTAGTAACCCCTTCTCCTGTATACATTACTAAAGTTGGAAAGAAACTTTTGTAATTCTTTTGGGGGCCACCCTGTCTTGGTGGGATACTGCTGGTGTGTTGAAAGAAGATGATCATGCTGCTGTCATAAAATTGTTTATTAATCACTCATAAAGTCTGAATTTTGTGATTGGTTATAGTGGTATTCTGGTAGTTTTTGTTATTAGGAAGGTTTGGTAGTGGTTCCTAACTGTATCACTAATTACACCTGATTTTGGTGGGGCAATTATGTTGGTTCATATTTGCTCAAGTACAGAAGCAAACATCTCATACTGTAAGACTTTGAAGTTGAAGGTAATGAAGATGCTACTACCTCATCTTCTTACTTACCTTTAGTGTGCTCACAGCCATGATCTTCATTTTTCTTCTTTCAATAACCTGGCCATATCCCTCCAAGGCAGGGCGGCCCAAAAGGTAAAACAAAAGTTTCTCCTTTTAAATTTAGCAATTTATACCGGAGAAAGGGTTGCTAGCCCCTTGCTCCCAGCATTTTAGTCGTTCCTTATGACACGCATGGCTTATGGAGGAAGAATTCTGTTCCACTTTCCAATGGAGAAAGATCCCCATTCTTCTTATATAATTGCTAGATAGTAAATGTTGATATTATTGCATAAATAGTACAGTATTTTTAATACCACATCAGCTGTTTGTCAGATAGTGTGGTGCAGAGATGCACATTCACCACCATCATTCATTCTTGAACTGTCTTTTCAGTAGTACTCCTCAGACATAGCATTTCAAATGATCCTCTGAAGTAATGTTTGAATTTGGTTTTAGGTATTCAGCCAATCCTACCCATCTTCCGTGAGGCTGTATTGAATGGTGAGCCTGAGCTGAAGGAAGCAGCTTCTAATGGTCTTACTGAAGTTATTCGTCTCACCAGCTCTGAAGCTCTCAAGCCTTCTGTTGTGCACGTCACTGGACCACTCATTCGTATTTTGGGTGATAGATTTGCTTGGAATGTCAAGGTGGCTGTTCTTGATACTTTAGCTCTCCTCTTAGCCAAGGTAAGTTAGAGGATAGTAAATATGTTACTTTACATTTCTTGTCATTGATATCTCCCTACAAATTGTACTGTAAGTGATACTTATAGCCCAGCCTTAGTCTATCAGTGACAGTGTCTTGCTGTCTACTGTCCCTGTTACTTTCTCTATAGATATGTTTACCTTGACACATCATTATGATGAACAATTAATCTGCTAGTTTCTGTCTGCACACTTCTGCTTTCTTCAGTCTCATTTGGGACATCTTTCTAACAATGATTTTTAATTATTACATTGAAGGGGAAGCACTAAATGTGTATGAGTCTTAAAGTGCCTGGAGGAATGGTAAGAAATTAGGTTCCATTCAGTAAGGAAAAGTCAGGCTCAGTTCCCTGGATAACGAGTCAATCACTTGAGTCGAGGAATGTCCATTGAGGGGACAGTATTTTTTTAAACTTGTTTGAGACACAAAAATTACACTTGAAAGAATGTGAAGTATAGGCTTGTTTATTACTTAGTGAAGAAGCATCACCTTATCATGCTCCTGGAGGCCTATGTGAAAGGGAATCTACTAAAGTTTAACTTGAATTCCTTTGTCAATATTTTGTGCATGTGTGTTTGGCTTCGTACATAAGCATGTTAAAGTTGGGTCTCAGGCTGTTTAGAGTAAGTAATGCAAACAAGGAGTTATAGACAACTGAACTGTCTAGTTTCATATATTTTTTTTTTAAACTCGTCACCATTTCCCACCGAGGCAGAGTGACCCAAAAAGAAAGAAAAAAAAAACGTTAATCATCATCCAACACTTTCACCATCACTCATACATAATCACTGTCTTTGCAGAGGCGCTCAGATACGACAGCTAAGATATACCTCCAAACAGCCAATATCCCAAATCCCTCCTTTAAAGTGCAGGAATTGTACTTTCATATGTATAGGTTTAATTATAACAGTACTTCATTATAATGACAAATTATTTTCTTCTTTAACACACCAGCCATCTCCTTCCAAGGTAGGGTGACCCCCTCAAAAAAGAAAGCACATTCACCATTGTTTATTCAGTGGCTGTCTTGCCAGAGTGTAGATATCACCATTCAACTAATCCTCTGAACTGCAATATTTCCACCTACCCCGAGAACTAGTTTCCCAGAATCCCTTCATAAATTTTACCTTGCTCCTACTCCAGCCTCACATCTTGCCATAAACACTCCTCTCCCTTCACCTTGATCTAATACACATTTGTACACTCTATATACTAATGCTGTCTATATGGCATAACACTTTTATACATGTTTTTATAACAGTGTGTTTGCCTGTCATTATGCAGGTCATCACATCCAAGTCATGTTACTGTAAACTCTATTGCTTACTCAGGTATTGTAGTTGTTGTATCCTTAGTATTTATTACTCACAAGATTGATGCTTTTCAAATGTAAGAATATAAATTATTTTCAGATATTAATTACCACCTTGGTCAGCATTGACTACTTGATATATAGATGTCACTTTAGTTTATTTTTTGATGCAGAGTCAATTAAATAACATGTCCTGGCATGTTAGTGGCTTTTTTGTGCTTAACAACACATTATAAAATTTGTTTTGTTTGTTTTTTAAATATCTTTCTGTTCATTCTCTTTATCACATCTTAGCATCTGACTTTCCACTCTGCATTATTCTCCATTGATTATTCCCACATTTTTAATGTTCCTTATTGTATGTATTTTCATTTTTTTTCTTCTCTACTGCTATACTTTTAATAGTTTTTCATTTTATAATTAGGAGTATCAGATTATCATGACTCTTAATCTATAAATTAATTAAGCAAGATTTAAATGGTGAGCATCACGTTGATAGTGCTGGAGTATGTACACACTCGTATACCTGATAGTGGTGCCATGATCCCAGCAAACAATAATACACAAGATAACTGTTATCATCATTTGCAGACGAACACGAACTACCTGGTAGTTTGATTATTAACATAGCATAACTATATTTGTTCCTTTTATCTTTTGATTTAGTTAATTACTTTTCTCTCATTCATAATTTAAAAAATGTCTTGAACTAAATTATTATTTACATCTTCCCAGACTGGTGTTATGCTGAAACCATTCCTGCCACAACTTCAAACAACTTTCGTCAAAGCTGTGCACGACCCTCACCGCGGTGTAAGGTTACGTGCTGGCGCTGCTCTGGCTCACCTCATTACCATCCATACTAAGCCAGATCCACTCTTTACTGAGCTTCATAATGCAGTCAAGGTTGCTGATGATACATCCATTAGGTAATATCTTAGTATAACACATGTTAGCTTTGTTATGTTGTTTACTGAGCTTCATAATGCAGTCAAAGATGATACAGCCATCAGATAACATCTTGTGTTAGCCTTGCGGCATAATCTGAGACCAGGCTTCATGGTGAATCAGGGTCTGATCAACCAGGCTATTATTGCTGGCCGCATGTAAACCGATGCAGGAACCACAGCCCGGCTGATCAGGTACCAACTTTAGATGCCTGTCCAGCGCCTTCTTGAAGACAGATAGGGGTCTATTGGTAAATCCCCTTTATGTATGCTGGGAGGCAATTGAACAGTCTTGGTCTTGTCGAAATTGTGTCCCAGTTTTCGTACTTCCACTCGGTTTTTGTAGAGTTGCCGTACAAAACGCATCTGCCTTCCCGCACCCACACGAAACATCCCATGCACTGTGATTCAGTCTGCCTTTGTTTCTTGTTGAGTTAGCATCACCCCACGCATTCATCCGAAACATTTCGTAATAATCCATTGTTTTTTGTGTTTGTTTATTGAGTGTGACTGCTAAATAAGCCACCTTGGGGCCAAAGAAAGTTCCGAATGCCAGCCCTTTGATAAAGAAGACGAGAAACACAGAATTCAAGAAAGACCTCGTAGCAAAGTACAAAAGTGGAATGAGTTGCAAAGTTTTGTGGAGAAATATCACCCTAACAAAGCTGTTGCAAGCCATGTCTGCAACATGTTTAATGACAGTGCCATGTCCCATTTTAGGTAAATCTTAGAGATGCCAGAAACAGACCTCTGTGCACAGATTTTTTGTGCGACAAGGGTCCAGTGACTCAAGCTGGTCCTAGGTGCCAGTAAATGACACAGGAGAAGTAACCCTGGATAGGGCATTAATACCTAAAGTCCTTATGGAGGGGGATTCCCCTTCCCTACAATAACTTCTCCTCCCTCTTCCCTCCTCGCCATCTTCCATACACCAACAAGAGTCTTCAATAAAGGTAAAAGTGATGTTAAATGTTCATTTATCTATTTCATCATTAGTCATTTATATTTGTTTCTCATTGTTTTCTGTATGTAAAACTATAGTTCTCTATAAAATGTTATTTTTTTTTTTTATTATCACACTGGCCGATTCCCACCAAGGCAGGGTGGCCCGAAAAAGAAAAACTTTCACCATCATTCACTCCATCACTGTCTTGCCAGAAGGGTGCTTTACACTACAGTTTTTAAACTGCAACATTAACACCCCTCCTTCAGAGTGCAGGCACTGTACTTCCCATCTCCAGGACTCAAGTCCGGCCTGCCGGTTTCCCTGAATCCCTTCATAAATGTTACTTTGCTCACACTCCAACAGCACGTCAAGTATTAAAAACCATTTGTCTCCATTCACTCCTATCAAACACGCTCACGCATGCCTGCTGGAAGTCCAAGCCCCTCGCACACAAAACCTCCTTTCCCCCCTCCCTCCAACCCTTCCTAGGCCGACCCCTACCCCGCCTTCCTTCCACTACAGACTGATACACTCTTGAAGTCATTCTGTTTCGCTCCATTCTCTCTACATGTCCGAACCACCCCAACAACCCTTCCTCAGCCCTCTGGACAACAGTTTTGGTAATCCCGCACCTCCTCCTAACTTCCAAACTACGAATTCTCTGCATTATATTCACATATAGGTAGTAGGTTGGTAGACAGCAACCACCCAGGGAAGTACTACCGTCCTGCCAGATGACTGTGAAACAAAAACCTGTAACTGTTTTGCATGATGGTAGGATTGCTGGTTTCTTTTTCTGTCTCATAAACACGCTAGATAACAGGGATATCTTGCTACTCCTACTTACACTTTGGTCACACTTCACAGACACGCACATGCATATATATATATATACATACATCTAGGTTTTTCTCCTTTTTCTAAATAGCTCTTGTTCTTTTTTATTTCTTCTATTGTCCATGGGGAAGTGGAAAAGAATCTTTCCTCCGTAAGCCATGCGTGTCGTATGAGGCGACTAAAATGCCGGGAGCAATGGGCTAGTAACCCCTTCTCCTGTATACATTTACTAAAAAAAGAGAAGAAGAAAAACTATAAAATGTATTTTTTGTTAATATTTGTGGGTGTCTGAAATGGATTAATTGGATTTACATTATTTCTTAGGGGAAATATTGCTTCAGTTTTCATACGAATCAGTTTTCGTCAGACTTTTTGGAACAAATTAATCACGAAAACTGAGGTTCCACTGTACACTTAACATAAATTCCAGTAATCTGTTTGCCTTATTACATATGCTTAGGCAGTGCTGTCTTGGGTTCACTTTGCTGCGTAACATAACTCCCAAATCCTTTTCATGTTCTGTATGGCTGAGTTCTGTATTATTTAGTTTATAAATGCTTGGGTTATTTACATTCCCGAGCTTCAGGACTTTGCATTTGCCCACATTGAACTGCATCTGCAGTTCATTGTATACCTGATTCCAATATATACCTCTCTTTATCCTCCTAAAGTTCGGTGGAATCGTCCTCTGAATCAATTATCTTGCCTATTTTTGTATCTTAACGAATTTCTCGTATCACTTGTTATTCCCTCGTCAAGGTCATTAATGTATTTTATTGACAACAGTAGGCCTCCACACATATTTCACCCCATTTATGCACATTCTCTGCTTCTTGTTGGTGAGTCATGCCTCCATCCATGACAGAACTTTTCCCTTAATACCATGAGCTGCGACTTTCATTAACCCTTAAATTGTCCACACGTAGATATACGTTCACGTGTGGTGGGCTCTGAACGTAGATTGTTTTATTTTTCATTCCTTCAAATTTGATGCGATAGGCCTGACTCACCTAGACATGAAAGAATGGGTCTGTGCGCTCAGTGTGCACACTATGAAAAACTCGGGGACTACTTAGTACCTTGTGGGAGCACCAGTTCAACTGAGCACCAGCTAGAGCAAATAGCATGACAAACACCAGTGATTCACTGATGTTATGTCATATTAACACTCACATTTTAAGAGGAAAGTAAAAATAGGTTAGATAAATACATGAGTGGGTGTGGGTGGGTGAGAGTTGGACCTGACTAGCTTGTGCTACTGGGTCAGATGTCATGCTCCTTCTTTCAGTATATGTGACCTGACTAGGTGGGTCATTGGTCTAAACCGAGGGGTGACATGGACCTGCCTTGCATAGACCAGTAGGCCTGCTGCAGTGTTCCTTCTTATGTTCTAATGTATTCGGCTGGCTAGCTGACTGGCTTTGGCTGTCTCTGTCTGTATCTGTCTATATCTCTGTCTGTATCTGTCTATCTGCCTGTCTATCTCTGTCTATCTCTGTCTATCTCTGTCTATATCACTGTCTATTTGTATCTGTCTATATCTCTGTCTCTCACATGTACTCATAAATACAGTTCTTATACATAATGTAAATTACCTAGGATAACTCATAAATTCCAGGCCAAGTGCTATACAGTGTAGATATAAGACATAAATAAACATGATGCAAATAGTAGCAGTGTCACTTGCTCAGCAATCAGGGAGCAGCACATACACCACAAACCAACAGGTTCACTAGCCGCTCCCTGAGACAGAGACAAGCAGATGGAAAGACAGACACACAGGCAAACAGAAAGACAGATAAGCAGAACTAGACAGACAGATAAGCAGAACTAGACAGACAGATAAGCAGAGCTAGGCATACAGATAGATGTACAGATAAACAGACAGATGTACAGATAAACAGATAGATGTACAGATAGACAGATAGGCAGACAGATAATCAGACAGACATGCAAAGACATGTTTGTGTGCAAGAATAAAAACATATAAAGGCAAGGTTCCCTCCAGCAGGGCACATTCATCAGATGTCACTTGTTATCTGACATTGTCATAACACCATTATTCAAGGAGTTCAGATTATACTCCAGGCATACACAGAAAGACAGATGAGCTGAACTGGACAGACAGATAAGCAGAGCTAGGCAGACAGACAGATAGATGTACAGATAGACAGATAAACAGATAGATATATAGATAAACAGGCAGACAAATAGGCAGACAGACTGACAGACAGACATACAAAGACATGTTTGTGTGCAAGAGTAAAAGCATATATAGGCAAGGTTCCCCCTCCAGCAGTGCACATTCATCAAATGTCACTTATCTGACCCTTGTCATAATATTTTTCAAGGAATTTCATACTCCAGCATGTTTAAAACATTGCTGGGTCCTATAAATACTTTGTATATATTTCTAGACAATGGTAAATAATCAAGGCAAGTGAAAATGTTCACCTGTCAGTGTGATTGTTACAATTTGAGTACTATTTCAGTACATAATATGGTGTCAGAACAAAGATTGGCTATGAAATCTCAAGAACTATTATAAACTGTAAAAACTGTAATGATCAGAACATAGAAATTATATAAATTAAAATAAAAACGAGAAAAAAAGGTAAATCGGCAACACTTCTGCAAGTGACAGACTGGATGTTGCCGTCAGGTGAGCATCCAGAGACAACTTCGTGGCTTTATATCTCGGTAAGTTCTGGTCCTAAAAAATTTTTTTTTGGTGTTATACCACACAGACAATTGCCCTCTTTAATTTAAAAACAAAAGATTTTTTTATTTTTCAAAATATTCGGAGCGCCACGCAGGTGAACATAGATCTATGTTTGGACAGTTTAAGGGTTAAAAGTCTTTTGTGTGGTACTATATCAAAAGGATTACTAAAATCCAAATAAATAATGTATTCTTCATCATGATCAGCAGTTTCAAAAGCTTTTCTGAAGAAATTCACTAAATTAGGCAGGAACAGCCCCTCATGAATCCTTGCTGAATATCGTATATCAAATTATTCTTATCAAGATGGCTTCTTATAATATCAGCTATAATTGACTAGTAATTTGCCTATAATTGAGGTCAGGTTTATTGGGTAGTAATTTGATAGTAATGACTTTTCTTCTGCTTTAAAAATAGGAATTACATTAGGCATTTTCTATATCTCAGACACTACACTTGTTTGAAGAGATATATTGAAAAGGTTAGTTAATGGTTAACAAAGTTGCTCAGCCTAGGAGCAGGTAATGAGCACTGTGGTCTTATTGGTATGGAATACCACTGATATACAAGTTGTCAGACTCAGTAACATTATAGAATGTGAGTAAATGGTTTACAGAGCTGACAAGTTCATAAATAAGACACTTGTGCAACATTTGGATATCTTTGTTCTGGAAACATTTTGCCCAGCAGTTGCTTCTTCAGTCCAGCACAGATAAAATCATTATGACACTGCCCTTATGGGGAGCCACTGCCGGGTGACTGCATGGAGAAGATCTGGGCCAGGATCTGTCTTGGCAAACCTACCTGTATCTGAATATAGTGCACTTTGGTTAAGATAGATGAGCTGGACACATCAACTCCAGGCTGATGGACTGATTACCTCAATCTCCTCATCTGCACGAGACTGAAGAAGCCACTGCAGGGAAAGATGTTTCCAGAATAAAGATACCCAAATGTTGCACAATTGTCTGTTTTATTAACCTCATGGATAACTGATACCAAGGATATCAATACAACCTTCTTGCTAACTTCTGGCCCAAGTCTTGGGCATGACCTTCTTCCACTGGAAAGTCCTGCCTACCAGTAACAATGCCTTGCATGTCTCGTGACACCAGCATGTAAGCACCAGTCTTCCTGCCTGTGCTTCAGATTATGGTGTTCATCACCTGCTCCTGGGCTGAGGGACTGATTACTGCTTCTTCCACTGTCTGATTATATTTCTAAAGTCTTCATATAATGTCCTTGTAATGTACTGATAGTCATTAGATAGCAGAACATCTCCAATTAAAGATACCCATACGTTACACATATTTAATACATCTTGTCAGTAGTGAATACCACTGATATAGAGAGAGCATAAGGCACTCCCTGTGCATCTTGTGCCTCAGGCACTCCCTGTACATCTTGTGCCTCAGGCACTCCATGTACATCTTGTGTCTCAGCCATTGAACATGTTCAATAAATAAGTAACAACTACCACAACCCAGCACAACAATGTATTGGTAACAACTACCACAACCCAGCAGAACAATGTATCAGTAACAACTACCATAACCCAACACAATGTACATATTAGTAACAACTATCACAATGTATCACTACCACAACCCAGCAGAACAACTACCACAATCCAGCACAATGTATTAGTAACAACTACTTCACTGTATCACTACCACAACCACCCAGCAGAACAGTGTATTAGTAACAACTACCATAACCCAGCACAACAATGTATTAGTAACAACTACCACAACCCAGCACAACAATGTATTAGTAACAACTACCACAACCCAGCAGCTGATACAGTCAGTTCAATATGTAGAGTTTTAAGAAAGCTTCATTGTGCAGCATATATAATTTTTTTATTTTAAAAGTTATCTCATTCTATCCCCAGGGACACAATGATCCAAGCCTTAAGATGTGTAGTGGAACCTGCTGGAAATAAGATGAGTGATGGTGTTCGACGAGGTTTGGTTACAACACTTGTGGGTCTTCTCACCCATGATGACGATTCAACACGTCTTTGTGCTGCCGGGGCCTTGGGAGTTCTCTTGCCGTGGCTGCCTGCAGATGAACTCCATACTCTTCTAACACAACACGTTTTAGGTAAGGTAACTCATATTTAATGGCATTGTTCTCTTCACAGTAATTCCTACCAGAGTGAATCAGAATTAAAGTATTTGATGATGATGCTAATAAAGATTTTGTTAAGTTGCCTTTGTCTTCTTACATTGCTCTTGCAATATTAAGAAACTGACCTAAACTGAGTGTGTCTCCCTTTTATTATTCAGTCTATCAAAACTTGGGTACTGATATCTCTTGTAAACTATGAGTCGTCATCTACCACTGTGATGAAAACTCTCTAGTATCCTTATTATCTTCTCTTGTATGGCTTCTTGTCCTAGTTAATGAGGGGTAACAATTTTTTCTTATCTGATACATTTGCATTTATACTGTTAAATGTGGTTATCATGTCATCTCATTTTATTATTATAGCCAATAATGATATCCAGTACTTTTAGCATTTCTTCATAACTCATAACCATGTTGTAGTTAGTTTTTGGTCTCTCTCCAGTCACCACACTAGTTGACTGTTGCTCTGCCAGTCACCACACTAGTTAACTGTTGCTCTGCCAGTCACCACACTAGTTAACTGTTGCTCTGCCAGTCACCACACTAGTTGACTGTTGCTCTGCCAGTCACCACACTAGTTGACTGTTGCTCTGCCAGTCACCACACTAGTTGACTGTTGCTCTGCCAGTCACCACACTAGTTGACTGTTGCTCTGCCAGTCACCACACTAGTTGACTGTTGCTCTGCCAGTCACCACATAGTTGACTGTTGCTCTGCCAGGTCAAACCCCACTAGTTAACTGTTGGCTCTCCCGTCACCACACTAGTTAACTGTTGATCTGCCAGTCACCACACTAGTTAACTGTTGCTCTGCCAGTCACCACACTAGTTAAACTGTTGCTCTGCCAAATCACCACAAATAGTTTAAATGTTGCTCTGCCAGTCACCACACTAGTTAACTGTGCTCTGCCAGTCACCACACTAGTTGACTGTTGCTCTGCCAGTCCACCACACTAGTTGACTGTTGCTCTGCCAGTCACCACACTAGTTGACTTGCTCTGCCAGTCACCACACTAGTTGACTGTTGCTCTGCCAGTCACCACACTAGTTGACTGTTGCTCTGCCAGTCACCACACTAGTTAATTGGTTGCTCTGCCAGTCACGACACTGTTGATGTTGCTTTTGCCAGTCACCACACTAGTTGACTGTTGCTCTGCCAGTCACCACACTAGTTAACTGTTGCTCTGCCAGTCACCACACTAGTTAACTGTTGCTCTGCCAGTCACCACACTAGTTGACTGTTGCTCTGCCAGTCACCACACTAGTTAACTGTTGATCTGCCAGTCACCACATAGTTAACTGTTGCTCTGGGCCCGTCACCACACTAGTTAACTGTTGCTCTGCCAGTCACCACACTAGTTAACTGTTGCTCTGACAGTCACCACACTAGTTAACTGTTGCTTTTGCCGTCACCACACTAGTTAACTGTTGCCTGCCAAATCACCACACTAGTTGACTGTTGCTCTGCCAGTCACCACACTAGTTGACTGTTGCTCTGCCAGTCACCACACTAGTTGACTGTTGCTTGCCGTCACCACACTAGTTGACTGTTGCTCTGCCAGTCACCACACTAGTTGACTGTTGCTCTGCCAGTCACCACACTAGTTGACTGTTTTCTCTTTCCAGTCACCACACTAGTTGACTTGCTCCTGCCAGTCACCACACTAGTTGACTGTTGCTCTGCCAGTCACCACACTAGTTGACTGTTGCTCTGCCAGTCACCCACACTAGTTAATTGTTGCTCTTGCCAGTCACGACACTAGTTGACTGTTGCTCTGGCCCAGTCACCACACTATTGACTTTGCCCCTGCCAGTCACCACACTAGTTGACTGTTGCTCTGCCAGTCACCACACTAGTTGACTGTTTTCTCTGGCCAGTCACCACACTAGTTGACTTGCTCTGCAGTCACCACACTAGTTGACTGTTGCTCTGCCAGTCCCCCACATAGTTGCTGTTGCTCTGCCAGTCCCACACTAGTTAATTGTTGCTCTGCCAGTCACGACACTAGTTGACTGTTGCTCTGCCAGTCACCCACTAGTTGACTGTTGCTCTGCAGTACCACACTAGTTGACTGTTGCTCTGCCGTCACCACACTAGTTAACTGTTGCTTGCCTGTCACCACACTAGTTGACTGTTGCTCTGCCAGTCACCACACTAGTTGACTGTTGCTCTGCTAGTCACCCACACTAGTTGACTGTTGCTCTGCCAGTCCCCCACAACTAGTTTGACTGTTGCTCTGCCGTCACCACACTAGTTAACTGTTGCTCTGCCAGTCAACACACTAGTTGACTGTTGCTCTACCAGTCACCACACTAGTTGACTGTTGCTCTGCCAGTCACCACACTAGTTGACTGTTGCTCTGCCAGTCACCACACTAGTTGACTGTTGCTCTGCCAGTCACCACACTAGTTAACTGTTGCTCTGCCAGTCACCACACTAGTTAACTGTTGCTCTGCCAGTCACCACACTAATTAACTGTTGCTCTACCAGTCATCACACTAGTTGACTTGCATGGTCAGTCACCACACTAATTGACTGTTGCATGGTCAGTCACCACACTAATTGACTGTTGCGTGGTCAGTCCCCACACTAGTTGACTGTTGCATGGTCAGTCGCCTCACTGGTTGGCTGTTGCATGGTCAGTCGCCTCACTGGTTGGCTGTTGCATGGTCAGTCGCCTCACTGGTTGGCTGTTGCATGGTTAGTCGCCTCACTAGTTGACTGTTGCATGGTCAGTCACTGGTTGACTGTTGCATGGTCAGTCGCCTCACTAGTTGACTGTTGCATGGTCAGTCGCCTCACTAGTTGACTGTTGCATGGTCAGTCGCCTCACTAGTTGACTGTTGCATGGTCATTCACTTCACTAGTTGACTGTTACATGGTTAGTCACCACAACAGTTGACTGTTGATGGTCAGTCACATGGTTGACTGTTGAGGGTCGTATACACGGGTTTGACTGTTGCATGGTCAATCATCACATATTTAACCTTTCGGTCCGTCCGTAGATTACGGCTTTCGTTCGGGTCCAAACCGTGATCTCCCCCCCTGGCTCACTCACTTGATAAACTGTGAGTGGTACTTTTGGGCCCTAGTATGAGAGAATAATCATGTGGTATGGTGCACCAATAAAAAAGATCCGCAGCACATGTGTTAATGAGAGAAAAAAAAAAAAATCATGTTTTTTCGTTAAAACGCAACTTTGCGTGTTTTTTCGAATGTTTTTTATAGTTGTTTTTGCGATTTCTTGGTCCATTAAAAGAATGGAAGACATATTACAGAAATAGAGATGATTTTGATTGGTTTTACACTGGAAATGGCTTGAAACTGAGCTCAAAGTAGCAGAAATGTTAAATTTTTGCCGATATTCAAGAGTAAACAAACGACCTCACACGTCTAATACACATCAGCTGGTGGGTCTAATATACATTCACAAATATGGTGATGATATTTATACAATTATTACAGTATTGCATAACAGTAAATCTTCTATTTTTTGGTGTGAATAAAAATTCATTATGTGAATAAAAAATCAAAATGGAATTTATTTGTAAAGCCTCAAAACATAACTAATGAACAGAGGAAATGTTAGTTTAGTGCCAGGAATGCCTACATTGTTCATTCTGGACCCTATTTTGAAATTGGAATATTTTGAACTTTGTGTTAAATTGGCCAAATTAACAATTTCCGATCACTTTATTTTGTAGTTGAAACAGTTGACTTGGCAATTTCTTGTGCTCAATCGATAGAATAGAAGTAATACTAGTGAAATAGCTAAGAATTTGGTTGACTGGAATAATGTAATTGGCCTAAAATGGGAGTCAAAGTCGGCAAAATCGCCGATTCGTAAATATCACTGACACATCAAAATTCGCGAGAGCATAATTTCGTCAATTTTCCACCAAATTTCGTACTTTTTGTTTTATTACCTTCACAAAAAGATTCTCTACGATTTCATAAGAAAAAATAACAAATTTTTTTTTTGAAAATTCTTGGACACTGGTGCGTGACTCCAGATTTGGGCCTTGGACCCTGAAAGGGTTAACTTGCATGGTCATTCACTTCACTAGTTGACTGTTGCATGGTTAGTCGCCTCACTAGTTGACTGTTGCATGGTCATTCACTTCACTAGTTGACTGTTGCATGGTTAGTCACCACAACAGTTGACTGTTGCATGGTCAGTCACACTGGTTGACTGTTGCATGGTCAGTCACTACACTGGTTGATTGTTGCATGGTCATTCAACACACGGGTTGACTGTTGCATGGTCAGTCACACTGGTTGACTGATGCATGGTCAGTCACCACACTAGTTGACTGTTGCATGGTCAGTCACTACACTAGTTGACTGTTGCATGGTCAGTCACCACACTAGCTGACTGTTGCATGGTCATTCACCTCACTAGTTGACTTGATGGTCATTAACTTCACTAGTTGATTTTCATGGTCATTCACCTCACTAGTTGACTGTTGCATGGACAGGCGGCGCTCTGGTTGGCTGTTGCATGGTCAGTCACTACACTAGTTGACTGTTGCATGGTCAGTCACTACACTAGTTGACTGTTGCATGGTCAGTCACTACACTAGTTGACTGTTGCATGGTCAGTCACTACACTAGTTGACTGTTGCATGGTCAGTCACTACACTAGTTGACTGTTGCATGGTCAGTCACCACACTGGTTGGCTGTTGCATGGTCAGTCACTACACTAGTTGACTGTTGCATGGTCAGTCACTACACTGGTTGACTGTTGCATGGTCAGTCACTACACTAGTTGACTGTTGCATGGTCATTCACCACACTGGTTGGCTGTTGCATGGTCAGTCACCACACTGGTTGACTGTTGCATGGTCAGTCACCACTCTGGTTGGCTGTTGCATGGTCAGTCACCACACTGGTTGGCTGTTGCATGGTCATTCACCACACTGGTTGGCTGTTGCATGGTCATTCACCACACTGGTTGGCTGTTGCATGGTCA